AAAAAAAAATTCCTCCATGTAATGGCACGGTCAAATATTTACCAATTTCAAAATAAAAAATACGAGTCTCCTTTTCGCGATATTCCTCTGTTCTGGGGGAAGGCAGCGCAAAAATTTTAAAAAGTTGATTTCCCTATGTATTAATGGACCACCTTAAGTTTGTTGCTTGTATATTTAAGGCTTTTGCAACGCTTTGACTGACTTCAAGCATAAACAGAGGGCAGCGTTGATCTGGATCAATTCGGGAATTAACTGCAGTTGATCCGGATTAAGTCCGAGTTAATCCGGATCACCGCTGCCGTCCGTTTAAGCTTTTACATACATACAACCCTATTTTGGGATTGTGTTTGCGTACGCTTCCATCATAGCAACTCCCTGTTCCATTTAATTGCACTTTTCGATTTGGGTCTGCGCAAGTGCACTTGAAATATTCACTGTCTGTATGTGTACTAAAATACACTCCCTTGTTTGTGTGTGCTTACATACATTTGTGCATACGTTTATTTTTATTGCCGCGGATTTGGACACCGTAGGCCGTAATTTTCGTCTAACATTTACATGACAAAATTACCATACATATATGTTGTGTTGTTTAATAGTATAACTACAATATTTTGTAAAATATACAGTTGTTCTGGTTGAAGATGTAGAGTAATGACAAAGAAATATAATGATTTAGTGGGTTCCACGAGGACGTTTCAGTATTTCGACTTAGTGCTAAGGGCAGAAAAAGCAGCACCAACTAACGGAAGTAGCGGCACTGTGCTTCTACCTAGGCCCTCCAGCTTTCAACTCTGCTGCTATGTAGATATGTATGTATGTATGTATATACAGAATAATATTGACACAAAACATCTTTGGCAAAAAATTAAAAAAATCAAATGTCAACGTTTTTCCAACTTTCCACAAATACTTACTAACAACTCCGTTCTTAAGCATCCAGAGCAAATAGCTGAAGCCCTAGGGGCGCATTGGAGCGCATCAAGCGCAAACGACGCGTTTGACACAACTATAGTCAGCAACAAATGCTCTTTTAACATAGATGCTTTACCACGCATCTGTCCTTCTACGCAAACGTGCCATAAAATAACACTCGGAGAACTGGAGGCAAGTCTTAAAACAACTAAGGGCAGCTCCCCCAGCCATGACAAAATAACATACACAATGGTAAAAAATGCGTCTACAGCACTTAAGTCTCGAATATGCAGACTTTTCAATCGAATTATCGAAACAGCAATCTACCCACATGAATGGAAGCACGCAATTCTTACACCTGTGCCGAAACCTGGGAAAAGTCCCAACTCGGTTGAGGGGTGCCGTCCTATCTCGCTACTACCCACATTGGCAAAAACATTCGACAAAATCTTAGCCAACAGAATATGGACCGACTTCGGTAACAAACTAGAAGCCGAACAACACGCATGACCAAACATGGAGTACACACCCTTATTCACACTCTCGAAAATCAGTTGAAACGTTCAAGTGGAGAACACACCGTCGTTCTGTCTGAAGACCTGGCAAAGGCGTATGATAGAGTAATATCTACTGAAGTAATTAAAGAAATGCACAAGTGCGGTATTCCGACGAATATCCTCAAACTCTCTTTATCCTTCCTATCGTTCAGAAGGATTGCAGCCAGAGTTGACGGATTCCTTTCGAAGGTAAAAAAGATAGAAAACGGAGTCCCACAGGGATCCCCGCTTTCAGTAGTACTCTACACGTTTTATGCCAATTCTCTAATAAAACAGATAAAAGACGTCGAAGGGATTTCCTACATGGGTGTATACGCAGACAATATTTTCGCAGCAGCATCCGGAACGCACGAAACAGTCACGCAATGTCTACAAACTATACGAAACTATAAAGAAATGGGCTAACTCAACCGGAGCCGCAGTCCCAATAGAAGTAGCAACGGCCCTCCATGTATGCCGTAAAAACAATTGCGGTGCTAACGCGGTACACATTCGGGAACAAACAATTCCTTTGAAAAGTAATATGCGCATACTTGGTGTACATTTCTCTAAAAACATGTTATGGAGCAACCACGTTAACGTGCTGAAAGACAAACTGAAAAAAGTCAACAACATGCTCAAAGTCATTTGTTCTAAAAGAAAAGGTCCGCGCATAGAAACTGCAATTGCCATTTGTCGCACACTCACCGGAGGCGTACTACAACACTGCATAACCCTCTACGGCTGGACATCCAAAAGAAACATCAAAGCCCTCAACACCGAAATCTACAATTGCTACAGAACAGCCACCGGCTTACTGAAAGCAACTCCCATACCTGCTCTAAAAATAGAAGCGCGAATTCGAGATTTTGAAAATTTACGGTTCAAAAGTTCCTCCAAACTAGCGGCTAAGTCCATCACGGATAACAAACATCCCCTTCACAACATGGTATGGAACCTCATCGACACAACAGAACATAGGAAAGCACCCGTCCACAAAACGAGCAGTTTAAAAAGAATAATCATGATGTTACATGACACACATATACCTATTCTAAGCAAACCGCCACTGAGCAAAGAAAACACAACTAATCTTATCACAGTAGACACATCACTTAACACAACCAAAAAGAAATCAATTTGTCAACAAGCATACATACAAGGATTGTTGGAAATCACCAACGAGACAGACCCCCAACTACTACTTTTCACTGACGGCTCGGTAAATTTTAACACACCCTCATACGCTGTAGTGTCGCAAACATCAGGCAAGCAATTTGCAGTTATCCATCAAGCTCTGTTACCAATGCACACAGGTATTTTTTGCGCCGAACTAACAGCGATCAAGAAAGCAATA